GTACAAAGGTAAAATTGAAGAAGCCCTGAGAAATATGAGAGTTGCGCGTTGAAAGTTCCCGTTGTTTTCACCCGATTTTGGGGCGATCTTATATTTTTTTTTATAGGGCGAACTGCTGTGGCCAACAAAGTATAAAGGGGGAAGAATGGAAATTTACTACAGGATTGCAAGAATGTCACAGAGCCTTATTTAGGGGGGGACGGATCATGTAAAGTTTATATTGACACAGCCAAAATCTGTGTCATCCGATCCGAGTTTTCGCTCATGGCAGTTGAAACATTCACATCCCGTCGGAAAAAAAATATCACTGAGTTGGGAGGTATAACACATTCACGTGTTACCTTCAACTCTCTCGAAAACCACGTCCCTGCTAAAACCAGTGTGTAAAGACGAACTGAAAGCCACAAGAAACAAAGCAACACCGCTCAACAGAACGGGACAGAAATGGAAACCAACTAGATGTCCTGTCATCCTGTAATTTGAGAAAGAAAGAAAAACAGATGACAAATGTTGCCCTTCTCCCTTCTTAGATACAACAAATAGTTTTGATTGTGAATTTAGGGTTTTGCTAATTACACTTTGTCTGACTCAGCGAAAGAATACGAGCGCTATTTTAAACTACCAAGTCATACAAAGGAATCTTTCCTGTTAAGGATTAATTCTTGTCCGCTGGCTTGCACAAGTTACTCACCCGATAGTAAGTAAATACATCGAGTTTCTCACTCACACTCACCTTCCTTTTCTTACTTTTCCTCGACTTTTCTTCTCACGTTTATGCAGTAGTAAAGGTCTTTTGTATATATACTTCTCACTCAAACGTATTTGTCGAAGTGGCTGACTATTCAAGATTTATGTTGTTATCGAAGTTAGAGCGCAGTCTTCTTCTGAAGTTTAAATTAACCAATTTTCTCCAAATTGAATGACTTGGTTACTCCTTGCACAAGTTACTCACCCGATGGTAAGTAAATACATCGAGTTTCTCAATCAAACTTACCTTCTGTTTCTTACTTTTCCTCGACTTTTCTTCTCACGTTTATGCGGTAGTAAAGGTCTTTTGTATATATACTTCTCACTCAAACATATATATCGAAGTGGCTGACTATTCAAGATTTATGTTGTTATCAAACTTAGAGAGCAATCTTCTTGAAACCAGTATATTCTTACCTTCAGTTTCCTTCCACTCCTCTCGTATTTTTGTATCGAAAAGCTCTTTTTTCAACTTTTTATACAATTTTAATGAAACTTGAGACAATGATTAAAAGAAAAAAATAGAAACAGCTTAAGAACCCATACATAAATTATGCATCAGTCAACTTTGCACGAAGTACTGATCACGACTTGGGGTTAGCGTTTCTTTACATTTGAGTAAAGCTTGGGGGCATTTAATTAGAAACAAACCTAGATTACTCGGATTGTTTTTATTAGCCGGATTTCTTTTCTCAATTAGTCGCATTCAGGATACAGAGCAACTTTTTCCCATCAAACAAAGCTAAATTCGCCTAATGAAAACTGAAAGAACTACAGGATGTAATTTCAAGGTTAAAAGTTTTCTTCAGTGATGAAACTGACAGGATTCCTTCTCACGTTCTAACTCGTACATTTATGACTCACAATGTGTTGGTATATCTGTTGTACCATACATGTTTTTGTGTGTTCCTGTTTTGCACCCGTGTTAGTTAAATCTGTTAACCGAAGCCAATATGCTAAGAAACATATTTCTTTCGATGCTCCAATTATTTTCTCATCTTTTGCACTCTAGCTAATACCCTGCTAATATTGTTTACTCTCGCTTCCAGACAATTCTAATACAGACACCTGGCAATGTTGATAAATTAAGCGACTAACTGACTGTAGGGGAAACAATGAGTTTTGTTTTCATTGCGGGTCAAAGGAAAGCAATTCTCACTGTTTCCCGTGGGGCCAGTCACTTTGATTTTAATTTTTAAAAGTGTTTTGTCATACCTCCCAACTCGAAAATGACTGCTAAAATATTATTTTTTTTACACAGGCTGGCACTCACATTTGCTGCAGTTTCACTGTGCACGACCTTATCCCGTAATAGTCGAAAGTTCAAGTTGTTGTTTACCAAGGGGCTTCTTGTTCACCCTAGAAAGTTGGTGTATTTTGATTCACAGCGACTTGTTCTCCTCCAATCAGAAACCCCTTTAAGTTGAGAGGTACATAACGATTAAATTTTTACAACTGCTATCTTAATTAAAGGTTGAATCAGTGCTAAGGAAATTGACCACGTCAACCTCAACGTTAAGTTCAAGGATCTAAACATGATTGGCTAGTTGGTCGAATCACGTGCGTCAAGCGTGAATACAAACATTCCAGGGAAAGTGGAATAGTACGCTTAGTTTGCACTTCGCAAAAAAATTCACGAAAACCATGAAAATCATGCCCTGCACAAAAGGTCGAGGCTAGCTGAGAAACCTCCGGTACCGAAAAAGAAAAAAAAATTATCATATAGACATTGACCCTTAAGGCAATTTAAACAAGGTGCCTTACAGCAGATAAAATCCTTTTCTTCCAAGAATTTGATTCAAAACGAAAGGAAAGTGAACAGAGAGGAAACAAGTCGAAAACTTGGTTTGTCTTGGATTAATTTTCCAGAAAGTTTACTGAAGAGCCGTCATCTTGGGCGTCATTTAGTTTTCGTGACTCGAGTCTTAATTAAAATATCGAACTGTGCAGAACTTAAATCTATACTCGCCCCCGTCCCAATGTATACCCCAGGGTATCCGTTCAACAGATGAGCGCACGAACGAAAAATGACTATGACTTTACTTTATTTATTTTATTTTTTCTATCAATTTCGCCAGTTAAGTTTTTTTTTTGGTGAAAATTCATGCTGAGTGTTTTCATTGCCCTTCACACAATTTTATATAAGCTTTCATCATTCTTTCACCTGCCCTAACACTCCCACAAAACAATCCAAAGTTCTCGCAAGCTACGACTTTTCGAAAAATAACAGATACTAATTGTCCATAAATTCGGCTTTTCGTTTTTCGACAAAAGCTGTCATCCCTTCCTTTCGATCGTCCTGCGAAATTAAAGAAAAGGAGAAATTTTTCCTTCGGGAAAGTTTCATCGCAAGTCCTTACAAATTCATTACACTGTTATTCATCACCATGGTAACAATCGAACAGACGGGGTAAGTTTCTAGAGAAACTGTAGTGTTGCGGCGGGTGGGGTATCACAAATATTATTTACATCAAAAGCGTTGATAATGCAAAAATGGCCACCATAGAGAGTTTCTAAAGCTGACGTTCCTAGCGTTAGCCTTTCGTCAGAGCGAATAGAGGAATTGTGGGTTGTGTGTAGTTTACATGCAGAAAGATGGAGCTACGCTTTTCGCGGGAACATAAGAACATTTTAATATTTTAATCCAAACTTTCTTCGGTTGCGCAGAAGACGTGAAGTATTCAGTGGATTGCTCTAGATCAGAGAGAGTAGGTGATATGTTTTCAAGAAATGGTTAAGTGGGTTTACCACTTTGTATTGCAATTGGCGTCTTCTTTCAAGTGTAAACGCCGATCAATATTAACTTACTGTTGAAAATGTTGAGTGAAACATTCTTTTCTCAAAATGCAGTCCTTCTGCCAGTGACATCTCGTAGCCTAAACAAAAAGACATTTGGGAAATTCAACCATCTACGGAACTTTCAAAGGGAATGCAACGACCATAAACTGTTCTTGCATGCATTTCTTGTAAACTGTTACACTTTTAGACTCAAGCAGGTCAGTCATGATGATTTATATCCCGAGGCAACAAAACCCTACGCGAGATCAAGTTCTTCTCTGCTTAACTTGCGCAAAAATCTACCTCATTTTCTCAGTTTGCTTCAATTAAGATGATGACTTAGAAACAATCAATTTTACTCTTGTGAATGGAAGTACGTCATGATGTTTTGGGCTATTTCGGTCACCAGAAAAAAGATAGTTTCGCAGTAGAACAGTCAAATAGGATAGGTAACTGTTTTGAAGTTGACTGGTAAACCAACAAGAAACGTCTAGCGATGGACAAGATCAACACCGACTGCAGTTGACATAAAATCTTTCGAATAATCGAGGTATAACTCATGACAGGAAACAGTCAATCGGACGGTTACAACTGCCAGGGCAATACCTGTGTTGACAGCTTCTTTGGCGATCTGTACGGCAATCTTCGACAAGGATGATATTTTTGCAGCTGTCTTGATAGCTTCATCTACGAGCTCTTCTGCGGGGAAGACTTTATTAACCAGGCCTAACAAAAAATGAAAGTTTTTAAGTCTGCAATTTGAATTTAGATCTAAGTGAAGAAAAATCTCGAGAATGAGTGCGCAATGCCCCACCTGACAAAGCCGACGCCAATAATTCTTATAATTTTATGCAGTTTTATCACAGGAGTGCATGCCCCAAGTTCATACTTTTATTAACCCTTAAACCTAACTGAACAACTTGAGGTAACGCGGCCTTAACTGCGACTTTTTGAAAAAAGTATATAGAGCAAATGTACTTGAATCAAAACGAAGAGAAAGGTTGGCGCAAATAACTTTTGCCGAGAGCTTTTAATAAGAGAGGAGAGTACTGAAGACATACAAGTTTACGTAAACTCTAAAAAACGTCTTCGGAAGAGTGCGGACATCTTCGGAAGTGAACGGTTCCTTCGCGGAAATGCTAACAAACAGAAGGGAAAAATCTACGCCTTTAACTCAAATTTTGCAGGCTTACACAAGTGTTTAGCATAAAACAGTGTGTCTCCGTTGCAGTCCTTGATGATGTGGAAGTACTGTACACATTTCTCAATAATTTGTGTGAGAATTTCCTTGTGCCACCGGGAAGACTTACGATGCTAAGTACCTCACTCCTTGACCCTTTAACCCCCAAGATCTGATTGTTAATTCTCCCCTCTAGCTGCTACACATTTCCTTTTTAATTAGTTACGAGAATTTGACGTTAGATCAATAACAACTTTGAACTGATAAGTTTAAATATTCTCATTACCCGTTTGCTGGATGATGTGTGTTTATTACAGGGAGAAGTTGCATGTTGATCGATTTTGTAAGGTAAAGAGGTAATGATGAACAACTGGTCAAAAATAGGAGCTAAGTTGAAAGGAACATGGACCTGATTTCTGTGCATCTTCTGCTGAAATAGGATCTCCTGTGAGTATCATTTCCATAGCCAGGGACTTCCCAACAGCTCTTGGAAGTCGCTGTGTACCACCAGCACCTAAAAAAATGAAAGCAATCTTCGAGTTTGTTGCAGCTTTTTAGCACAAACTTAACTCCCAGATCAAATTTGTAATTCTACTTATTGTCAACCATACAATTCTTATAATTTTAGTTTAAAGAATTTAATATTGGATCAACTAATTATCCCCAAATTGAAATTTTTCTTTATTCTCACCACTTATCTGGTTAATATTGTATTGATAGTGTAAAGAGAAATTCTGTCTTGGTCACTCATGGGAGTTAAAGGGTTAAAGAACATAAAAGCAGCAATATAAGAGAGTCTATAATAAGAAAAATTTCCATTTAATAAAAAGCCATCTTACTCCTATGATCTTTCCTGGTTACGAGTCTTTACTTCGCCAAATTACATCACTTTTTTTTAAGTTAGAGCTTAAGTTTAAAGTTTAAAGTTTAAATCTTTGACCCCAAAGAGTGATTAGCATCTAGTTTCTCCTTACAATATCACCCCTGAATCACACATTAAGGTCATGAGAATAAAGGAAATGATCATCAATCAAACAAGCTCTTGATTGTTAAACAAATTCTCCTTGTCAGCACATTAGGAAACGTATGGAGAAAAGTATGGAGAACTTGCAGACTGATGTTTGGGTGTAAAGGGCTAATGACTAATACTCTTAAGAAGTATAAAAAAATCTTGGAAAGGAGAAGACATCATTTTCATTTTCTTCATCTGCTATCCTGCAGCTTATTTCTGCTCTCTGATATTTTAATCAAGGTCAGTGGAATATATTATATTTTCTTATTGTGCAAACTGATAAAGTTGTTTCTGTGGGTAATTTATGTGTGCCATACCTGGAATAGTTCCAAGCAAAATCTCTGGTTGACCAAACTTAGCTTTGTTTCCAGCGTAAATGATATCACACATGATGGCTAACTCACATCCTCCTTCAAGCTGTGAAGAAAGTATTATACAACATACTTCAATCGAGCAACAACGAAAAAAGACAAACTTTGTTTGCTACCCTTAATAACACAATGACAGCTACAAGAAAATCTCTTGATTATTGGACAATCTGGGCACTGAGCTGGTGATTTGCACCAGTAACTGAGACCACTGGCATCTCATTCAAAATAATATTTTGGACATATTAATAATGGTAACAGGACCGAGTGGAGTCTAATTTGGACTGTAACCATACGAGTGATTAACAAAATCGTAGGACCGCAAAGCGGGAGTCCGATTTGTTAATCACGAGTATGATTTCAGACAGAATTGGACAACAAGAAGGCCTGTTACCAATTAATCAAAACTATGACAAAATTTGGGAAAGAAACTAGACATTGGTTATACGTTTTCAGAAAAACCAAGAACAACAGTTTACTCGGCGAAATGCGAGACAACAGCGC